TATGTGCGAACCCTTTCATAAATCTCCAGGCTTTTCATGGTAGATTCTAATTAGCAAAGGGCAAGGAGCCTTCTGATCACTTTTTCACCACAGCCTACATTAAAACAATGGCAAAGAGTGGAACAGGTGATGTCATACATGGGTGAAAAAAAGAAGTTATCCTAAAATTACCTTTTTTTTGTATGGATCATTTTTAAATGTAATATTTTAGCATTTTTAATAATGCAATCAATTTGATCAAACACACATGTTGTCATATCTAACAGGATGATATTTACCTTATTTACCTTATTTTTGAAAAATAATCTTTTCAACTATAACCTGCAGTTAACATTATTAATGAAAGTTATTATAAAGTTCTACTGAAATATTAGACAATAGATATTTGGAAAATTACAGAAAAAATGTAAGAATTAAAGAAATGTAACATATGCAGCAAATAAAAAAAAAAATCAGTGAAGTATAAAACAGTTTACATTTTGTGCATGTTTTTTTACTGAGCAGTAACATGTCTTCAAAAGCTTCTTGGTTTTTACTTCAAAATACACATTAAAGCGAGGGAAAAAACGAATGCAAAGACATAATACTGAAATATGTTGTAAACCTGCTGGGTTGACAGTCATGGTGTCTTAATGGTGTGTGAATGGTTCAGTTTTAATCATTTCAACATTAGACAGCCTCTCAATTACAAGTGATGCGGACAGCTGAAACAAAGGCAACCCCTTTCAACTCTTATCAAGAGTTGATAAGCAGCTTTTGTGTTGCTCTCGTGGACTTCCACACATTGTGTCTGTATCTGTCGCTCCTTCCTTCAGACGTTTCAAGTCTTTGAGCCTTTGCAAACGGACATACAGAGCTCTGCTCATAATACAGAGAGCTGAGTGATCACAAGATGTTGTCGCACATTAAACAAGTCCTCCTGTCTGTGGTGGGCTTTTGAAAAGAACACTCTGTCATCTGTATTTGACAGGAGAGATGAGCAAGTTCACTAGCAGAGATAGCTGAGATATCCGCTGCTCACTTAGCGTGGAAACACACCACACAGCGGCACTACAGAGTGTGTAGTCTGCTGAGGAGAGAGAATGTAATGGGAATCGGCTAAGAACCAACATGACATGACTGCCGGTCTGAGATATACAGGTGCATCTCAATAAATTAGAATGTATACACGAGTTTCACAATTTGAGTTGAATTACTGAAATAAATGAACTTTTTCACGACATTCTAATTTATTGATATGTACCTGTATTGTGCTTTTTGCTAATTTGAAACTTTTTCCATACAGAATCATTTGAAATGAGATTTGAAAACTTTTAGAATGCGACTGCTACAATTAAAGTCTCTTAGCGCTTCACTCTGAAATCAAATGGGCATTTAAGAGACATACATATCTGTTCTATGCAAATATATGCTTTCAAAATGCTACAATAAAGGCAATAAAGAGATACTTAAAAAAAAAAGTAAGAATATGAGACTACAATATAACACAATCTAGTTCAGCATAAACTAAAACAAAAGAAAATGTGAGCATCAACATACACTCAATATAGATGCTGAACAGTCGAAAAGAAGTTTTCATAGTAATGACACAGAAGAACAAGTTTTGGTTCCTCAACGAACCTGCCAGTGAAATGTTAAAAAAAACAACCATTTCATTCTTCACTCTTATTTATGGCTCCACGAAGAACCTTGAATATTTCAATTAGAGAGAAGGTTCTTTGTAGTGGAAGAAGGTTCTTTAGATAATTAAAATGTTCATCACAAAATGATTATTTTAAGAACTGTTCACTGAGAGTTTTTTTGGAGAACCCCCCTTTTTTTTTCTTCTTCATGACATTGCTGTGAAAACACCCTTTTGAAATCTTTAGTTTTAGGAGAGTACACTCTTAAAATGTATGTACCAAAAGGGGTGTAGAGGAAAATACAAATATTTTTTACATATTATTTTAAAATATTGTTCACACAAAGAAAAAAAGAGCTGTTCACTGAAAAGATCTTTGGGAAACCAAAAACAGTTCTTTTATGGCTTTGCTGTAAAAATCCCCTTTTTGAAATTAAAAGTGTTCATCTGCATAAACTTCTTGCCATGGATGTTCTTCATAGAACCATACATTCCAACAGAGAACCTTTATTTTCTAAGCGTGTTGGTTAAATCTAAAACAGAGAATTGTGTGCAAAACCATCCACAATCTGCAAGTCGTCTCCCATCAGCAGCAGGATTATGCACATTAGGCTGATTAATGGCGTCCGCCACCAGATTACTTGATTTGATAAGCAGTACAACCCATCACGAACATAATACATCACAAATTGTTTTGTCAACAATTTATGGTACTATTTATCAAATGACCATCGCCACTCGCTGAGTAATAGTGTCATATCTGACATTATGTCAATAGAGAAGTTGAGCTAAGGGTAGCCGGGCTGCAGTGATTTAGACACACTGTGTGCTGACCTGCGTCTATGTTTAATTCATAGCAGATGAGCAGAAATAGATGGATTACTGTTCCTAGATCTGTGTTAAAGCAGAAATGGGTAGGAGTGGCCAGGTTGGTATGCCAGTCACATACCTGGTCCTGCTATAGAGTTAATATCTGTGAATGCGCTGTTGTGCTGAAAGTAAGAGGATGCTTCATTTTTTAAAAAGCAAAAATCGTGATTATTGTGAATGGGGCTACTTTAATAGAATTTTAAATTTTTTCTGTTTTATTTGAGCTGTAAAAAAGCTGTTAAATAATCATTTTTATTGTCATTTTAAGGTTTTTAGTGTTTTGTCATGGCAAAGAAGTAAAAGTATAAAACTGAATATAACACAGAAAAGGATTTTGTTCCCCACTAAATTAATTTTAACGTGTACTGTTAATGAATTGTGGTTATACCATTGAAACAGTGAGAATTTTAACGTTTAAGTACCTCATTGTAACCTTGATTTGTGCTTTTTTTTTAAATTTTTTTTTTTAGAAAAGTGGAAATTCATTATTTGTGGTAATCAATATTATGCCACAAATGTTGTCTGTTGAGCTGAACTTGTACTGAACCCGGAATATTTTCTTTCAGAAACACCACTATACTTGATAAATTTGTGCACATAAATGGTGGTGATGACTTGACTTTTTCTAGGTCAAATGAATGCTCCTCATATGATAAGACTTGGCATATTGTACCAAAAATCAATAGCAAGTAGTAATAGGAGATATTCAGGCTGTCTGTACTAACATTTTCAAATCAAGGACAGTACTAGGAACTAAAACGGAAAAAAATAAATAAAAACAGTTCAGTACCTTATTTATTTTATCAAAACAGTTTTTCACTTCACAGTGCGAAAGGAAAGAAAAGCAATCTGAAATCCCACCTCTTCACATAATCATTCTAGTCATCATCGTGATGGTCAACAATTTCTGGCTGCTTGTTTTATGATGTTGTCAAAACAGGCCTGCACACCTTCGTAATTTGACAAGCTTTCCGGATAGCGTGCCCTTGGAATGAAGGCTGTGGTCCAAGCTGTCATCAAGGGGATCAATGCTGCTCCTGAGATAGGGCTGCGAGTGGCAAATAAATTCCACAGCAAAAACATCAGTTCCACAGGTATGAAAAGAAAGAGGCGAGCCAGCACCGGCTGGTATATATGGCTCTCGTCCAAAGCACCACTGGCTCATCTTAAAGGTTACAGTGACTACCCTGTGCACTAGTGTTAACAGAGCTTTCCCTCTCTGGGTTTATGGTCTGTGTAATAATTTTAAGCAAAGTGAAGAGTGTGTTTCCACAGGAGATGTTGGAGGAACAGCTGCGGGCCAGGGAGGAGGACAAGTGGAGAATGATTGATCACTGGGAGCGGAGAGGCTGTGTACCTCTCACCTTCCCCCTGCGAGGCTCCACGTCTGCCCCTGATCCCTTACATCTGCCTGCCCTTAGCAGAGCTGGAGGAGGAGGCCCGGCTGGATCTACTCACATGTCCCTGTACTCTGGAATAGGAGAGACTCTGAAACACGGGCCAAACCTTAAACTGGGATGCCATTGCTTTTTATTATACGTGTGAAGGAAATGTTGCTTATGGCTCCGGGGTTTTGTTCCAGTTATTTGAGGAAAATGTGTGATGGGAGACCTGAAACATTGTGAAAGACACACTTCTTCATTGTTGTAGTTAGCTGATTTTGGAAAGTTCACAGTAAATGAAATGAATGAAACCTTTTCTGCCTCTTACTTTATTTTTCTCACGCAAAATGTGTGCATAAAAATGTATGCATAACAATTTTGAATTGGTGATATTTACTTTTTGTTTTTTTACTATTTACCACTACTAAAA